AGAGCTGGATGATGAAGGAGCAAAGGTGCTACCTATGTCTGTGACATTCAGGACTGGTTGATCATAACCAAAGAAAAACAATACTATAAAATTAGTTTGTTTGGGTTTCTGCAGACCAGGATCTCAGTTCTGCTTTAAAACAGCCACCTCTAAACCAGCATAAATAGACTTTCAAGAGGTTTCATACGACCAAATAATAAATACTCTCTAAAAAGAATAAACACCATCTTGAGTAGGACTGGAAAGTATACCCAGGAAAACCATGCAAAGATGCCTTGAAACATCTGTGGATGCACAGATTTATGTATCCAAAGCTATATTGATACGTGATAAAACAATGTATTCTACTTCTCCGTTACATTTCCCTATATCAACCTGCACATAGTCCCTAATGCAAAGGAGGAAATTTAGATTGCTTTTAAAATGCTGTCCTTTCTCAAATAATAAATTTTAAGTGAGGATTTATTAGCTGTTTTGATGGTAAAAATCTTCAGGTTTTGCACATCTGTAATGATATCTGAATCAAAAACACCCATCAAAAGCCATGTGATAATTTGGGAATGCAGCCTGTTTGCTTCCATTTACTGGCTGGAGAACAGAATTCACTGCAGTTTGGGTTGGGGAGGAAAAAAATCATCCAGCAGACAAGGTGATCTCATGGAACAGAAGATTTTTGTTAATTTTTTGTCCTAATGTTGCTAAAGAAAAAGAAATTAACATGAAATTTCAAATTTTAGCTTTCTAAATTTCCTTTTTTTTTCTGGCAAGTTTTAAAAAACTTTTAAAATTCAAAAGGTAATTTCAGTGAGAGTGGAATTTTCATATTTTAACTTGTGCAATTTAGATGAGGCTTTCCTTTCCTCATTTAATAGAAAATAAATATTAGGTCCTTGGTGAGATTCAGTTGTCAGACACATCAGTGTGTAGGACAACCTTTTTGTTCATACTTGCATCCTGAGAATTTTAGACATCTGTAAGGATATCACAGTTTAAATTTAATCTGGTTAACCCTCAAGGAATGTTTTTAAAAAGGCAGCCAAGTTGTTACTGTTTCATTTGTTTTTGCCACATAGAATTTATATAGACAGATATTTTTATATATAATCTTTATATAGACATTTTTTATACATATAGACATAAGTTTATATACATATATTTATATATATATGGATGTAATTTTTATATGCATGTGTATGCGTGCTTTTTACCTGGAAAAATATTGCTTTGCCATCAAGCCTCCAGAAGTTAGTGACTGGATAGCCACTGTGTCCTCGGCAAGGAATCAGCTCAAGGGCTGAGTTACAGTTTGGGCAGGCTTTCTCTGCAAGTAGAGATAAAGAAACTATTGAAGACACTGGTTAAAGGTGAGGGCATCACCTGAGAGTAAACAGAGCTCAAGAGCAGCCTTCACTGAAGTTCAGATGACAATATGGTATACAAGAAAATGCAATATAGAATCACATAATCATCCAGGTTGGAAAAGACCTCTAAGGTCATCCAGTCCAACTACCAACTCATCACCACTGTGCTCACTAAACCATGTCCCTGAGTGCTACATCTACATGTTTCTTGAACACCTCCAGGGATGGTGACTCCACCACTTCCCTGAGCAGCCCGTTCCAATGTCTGACCACTCTTGGAGAAGATTTTTTTTTCCAAATATCCAACCTGAACCTCCCCTGGCACAACTTGAGACCATTACCTCTTGTCCTATCGCTGATTAACTGGGAGAAGAGACCAACCCCACCTCTCTACACCCTCCTTTCAGGTAGCTGTAGAGAGTGAGAAGGTCTCCCCTCAGCCTATTCTCCAGACTAAACAATCCCAGTTCCTTCAGCTGCCAAATCACATGGACTACCAAGAATGGCAGGGACTAGTGCTGTATATTTGATATAAACGTTAATGCGTGAAAGGATTGTAGATCCATTGCCCCTGAAGTATTTACAGACAGATGTTGATGAAGTTTAGAACTAAATATATTCATCACACTCTTTGCAATGGGTGTTCCTAGTTTAGAAATCAAGCCCAGCTGAAAGAAGTGGATTCCCTTGGGCATCCCCTGCTTCTCCTTGGGTGCTTCTCACTTTGCTGCTTCTGCCGAGCCTTGTCGCAGATGGCAGGACGAAGCTGCAGCCTGGTCCCCCCGGGCAGAGCACAGCTCCTGGCACACACCACCACGCCAAGGCAGGACTTCTTGAGGATCTGGCAGTTGTGGTTGTTGGTGTTTCGCATGGCCCAGCCGCTGAGGTGTCTCTGCGCGTTCTTCTCCTCGCTGGAGTAGATGAAGCGCACGTAGCCATCGGGCCATTCTTGGAAGGAGTCAAAATGTTTGGGCTCCTGCAGAAGAGCAAGTGGGGTTAGGAGGGTGAGGCAGCAAGGAAGAAGGTGAGAGAATATTGATAGAATATTGCAACCTGATGGTTTTGCTCTGTTACAAAATATATGAGGGGGAAAAAAAATGGGCTTTTTCTATAGCTACCCAAGCAGCAGAAAAAAAAAATATTGAAAGAATAGCTTATTCAGAAATGCTCTATAAAAGGGGAAATCAGTCTGGGCTCCCATGTCTCCAAAGAAAGTCAAAGATCCTTTCCTCTTTTGCATCATGATCCATAATAACATAATTTGTTGATTTAGATCTCTTTGCAGTGGGGTTACTTTGCCATGAGGCATCAGCCTTGTTACCAGAACTTACTGACTGGTCTACCACCAACACACCCAGACAGAACAGAAACCACCCTGCTCATGCTATTAAGTTCTCCTCATTGTAGGACCACGCACCTACAAGCTGGAAACTAAAAGTTTTAGCTAAGGAATAGTTTCTTAAAGTGCATCTAATATGAGTTGAATGAGGCTTCTGCAAAAAACCCACCAAAACCAAATGAAAACAAAAAAACGACCCCCAAAACCTCAGAAATAAAAGTTTGCCATTGCAAATATACTTCCAATATATAGTGGTTGTGAGAAAGAATGTTTCAATTTGGGATTTCACTGGCTTTCTAGAGTTCCTTACCAAACTATAATTACCAGAACAACAAAAGAATTACATTTTAAACTCCAAATATTTTCAGTGCAAGTAAAGAGTTCCTGCAACACTCATTTAACAGACATACATACCACATGTGAGCAATCCCAGTGAACACCAGCACTTAATTTACAGTGTTAAGCCATTCTGTAATTGCACAGAATGTGCAAAATTAAATAAACTCTAAGATGGAAGAAAAGTTGTGAATTAACAATGTATTCAGAGTTCACAATTAGAAAAAAGTGGAGTGCTCATTGGCAATAAAATGTCACATCAATAAACTATTGAAATATTTAGATAGCTTAAGTTGTAGTAGCAGAAAATAGTAATTTCAAGCTCATTTTTAACATTTCTTTAAATGGGGAATAAGGGAGAAGGAAACCAGCCAAACAGTGGAGCTGAAGACTGTTCCAGGAGCTCAGACACAGCTGGCCAAAGCTGGGTATCAAATCCACATTTTTCTTACAAACAATTTTTTAAGGACTACTGCAGCCCATCAAGACCCTTAAAATTATATTTGAAAAGATGCAGGAGAAGGAAACCTGCCATAAACCAGAGATTTGCTCAGAGAGAAGGGGTTTTTCCCCCTCCCCCAGTACCCCAGCTGCCTCACCCCGCGTTATAGCCAGCCAGGGGTTTTCTACCCCTGCAGCCCCCCCCAACCCCGGTACCTGCGGCAGCTTTGGGGCGTTGATGTCCCAGGTGGGCTTCCTGC